CTTATTTTTATTACAAGATGACAACTGGCAACTCTGATATAAAATTACAATGTAACGTTTGTATAAAATAGACTATTTATTCTGCATGTTTGGTCTCAGATGCTTTTCAAATGCAGACGCTGCCAGGCATGCAAAAAATGTCCTGATACCAGAGGTCGAAAAGATGGAAGATGCACTGAAGAGGAGGACAACTACTGCCTTAGCTGCTACAGCAGATCCAGCAGATCCAGCAGAGAAGGTTTCTCATGCAGAAGCAAGTGGGTCAAGAGGACACAAGCAAGAGCACCTTCATGATGTTGTTCGATGAAGTTCTCAAAGAGCAAGAAGAACCTGGAGGAATCATTACCACGAGTGCTCTTCTTCAAATACAAACGTATATGACAGAGCAAATGATCCCTCGGTCTGAAAACCTATTGCATTACTGGGCAGAAGGAACCGACTAAAAGCAGAGAGAGCAGAAATGCTAATATTCCTCAAAAAAAAAAAAACTGCCAGTGACGATCAAGTGAATCATGAAGCAGGTTTATGTTACTGGCGGTGTCTATATACTTGTCTTGGTTGTTATATTAGTGTTTGTTTTCTACTATTTTTCACGAGTGTAATGGTGCGTTCAAGTCATGTCGGATAGATCGTATTTACGAGTTGAACGCACATGAACGCCACCACAAAGTTGTTATTACGAGTGGGAAACTCGAAATTTTCTTTAAGCCCCGAGTTTCCGAGTTGGGGGCGTGTCAATGAGAAACATGGCGGAATCGATGGATGCAACGTCTGTAGTTGACGGTAAATTTTTGTTTAAATTGATAGTTTAGTTGTCCTATGAACTTAAATTGGTCATGTTCTTGTTACGCAGCTAGTTAATGAAATCCAAGTAAAAAAAAATTCTATCATTTTTGCACCAAGGTGAAAAATCTTTTGATTTGCCATGTTGCATTTAGCTAACAGCTTTTTTAAATCTCTGTATTTTAGCATTTGTTGACGCTGAAAATCAGTTATACTGGGATCCTGGTCTAAAAAAAAAGATTAAAAACGCAAAACACACCTGATGCGAATTCTTTGCTCTTCATTTTCTATAAGCAGAGTTAAAAGACCCTGTTTGTATTTTCTTGTAATTTATTAAAAGAAGGTACACCGCCATCTTGAGCCGACTGAACTGACTTGAACGCACCTGACGTCGTAATTACGATTGTCAACTCGTAAGTATGAACATCCCAGGAGGACTTGAATGCAGCATCAGGCAGGGCTCTTTGATAAAAATCATGTGGCTCGCCAGATCTCTCACCCTTTACCAACAAATTATCTATTACAAAAATTATACATCACTAGAGATCAGCAATTCATTGGTTGTAGAGACTAAATAAGCTGATAAAAGGTTTAAAATAATAAAATTTTGGCGCGTTCAGTGCTATTCGCGAGAGTCACGACAGCAAACTGGTAACATAGAGCTAATAAACTGCTACGTAGCTTGTTTGTGGCAATAGCGAAAATAAAGATTTTTTTTAACAGCAGAAAAAGTGTAAAAGCATGTAAAAAAAAAAAAAAAAAAAAAAAGGGACAGGACTGAAACATATACTTTGTTTTATAGATGGTGGTGTTCTCCTGTGCCAAGAGCCAGTATGAAACATTTAGCCGCTTACTTTAATTTTTTCCGCGCAGCTTTCAGCGGGTGGGACTGTTAGCGTTATTAATAAAGGAACGTGAATGAATGAGACAATAAAGAGCGGGACATTCTTGAAGGCAGACAGTATTAAAAACTCAAAGCCGCGAAATGGAACCTAATCTGCTTCTGACTGCATGTTGGAGAAGCATAGACGTCTTCGGTGGCGCGCCTAAAACGGTCAAAACACGGAGTGTCAAAATGCCTGCACTGGTGTGTATTCACATAAATACGGTCAACATGCACCGTGCATTATTCTTCACTCACTCGAGTCTCACTCTCTCTCACACACACATAGAGAGCACTCTGAAGAGAATTCATCCCCCTGTAAATCATCCTCACAGTATAAAAGCCCTGCACAATTTTTGACGGTTAGTTGCATATTTGTGTATTTTAGTTTCCATGGTCCTAATAAAGTTACTATTATTAAAACGGTATTGAAAAAAACGTGCATTTTATATAATATTAGGCTATATATATATATATATATATTGGCTCTTTTGGAAAAATGCATTAACCAAAAATAAAAAAATTGTCTCTTTGGTCAAAAAAGGTTCCCGACCCCTGGTATAAGGTATACTGTATAATAAGCACTGTGTTGCAGCTTGCTACCACTCTGATTTAAGATTCACTAGATTTAGAATATTACTTTTTGGATTTTCTTCAGAAAATAATTTAATTTAATAATTAGTAAATATTGTTAAGATTGTGATACAACTAGTAACTGTTGAAATTACTTTTAATTTTGCTACTGCATCATTCAGTTTTCTTAATAAAGTTGTCTGCCATACTGTAGATTGCATGTCATGTATCTCTTATGTTTTTTTAAGTAACGTGCAGTCAGATTTGGTATTTCTTTCTTTACCTAAAACAAATACATCTTAATGACCAACCTAATAGACAAATTCCAGTTTTAATTCATGAAGGAAAACAAGTCATATCTAACTCTGAAAAAGTAGAAGTATTGGCTGAAAATTTTGTTAAGGTTCATAGTAATAGAAATATATCAGAAGAAATTAGGTTATATAGAGAAAACTAAATGAAAGAAAATCCTGATATTTTAGAACAAAGAGATGTAAATGAAAGCTCAGTAGATGAAGTTTTTACCATGTATGAATTAAATCAGGCACTTGTGGGAGTGAGAAACACTTCTCCTGGTAAAGACGAAATATGTAATGAAATTATTAGATACCTATCAGATAAGTCAAAGGACATTCTATTTAATAGAGTGTGGAAATTAGGAAAGCTCCCTTCCTCTTGGAAACATGGCATAATTATTGCAATTGTAAAGCCAGGAAAAGATCATTAGAATTTCGAATATCTGTCGAATTTAAAATAAAAATCCACATTTGAATGCAAAAACGTTGCATTCGAATTTTAGGTGTGCGTTAAGAAGGCAGCCTCATCAGCGGCGCACGAGATGCGATGACGATGTAAGTGTCGTTGCATTATAATGTTTTTGTTAGTCTATCCAGTTGAAGCCACTAGATGGCGCTGCTGCGTTGTTCATTCAAAATATTGCGGAAAAAGAGAGCATCAATGCGGAGAAGATCTTGTTTACATCAAAACCGTTCACACAGAACGCATATTTCACGCATTTTCTAGATGGACATCTATTACGGTTGCACTCGCGTCTCGCACAAAAGAGCCGCATGTTTAGAAAGCCATGTAAAATTAATGCAAGTTTAACTTTGAAAAAA